AGAACCAAGGAAGTAACACATGTGAGAAGCCCTTCCCAAGCCCAGAGTCCTTGGGTCCTTCTGTTCCGTTAATTGTCAGGAAGAGGAGCCTAGGCCTTGCCCTCCCCTGGAAGGAGGAATTGCCTCACACCTGTCCTCCCTGCTGCCGAGGCCCGGGCCCCTCCGCCCGCCAGGGCGGGGCAGGTTCTCCTGGGCTCAAGCACAGCAGAGGCCCAGCAGAAACAGCAGGAGGCACAGGGTGGACAAGAATCAGGGCCCCACCTTATCCATGAGAACCTAACCACACAGGTCCCCTGGCTCCGTGCTGTTCTCCAGGTACACCTGTCAGCACCTCTGGAAAAAACCATATGGAAACCAAGGGCTTGGGGCCTCAAGGCAGAAATCCCCGGCCTGAGCTCTCTGAGGAGGTGTCCCACATTCACCAACCTGTCAACTGCATGGCCAACCCACAGCCATTTGTTGAGCCTATTTCCCCTGCCCAACATCTGACTGGGCATGATGGGGGAAGACACAATTAACACGTAAGGAATAGTGAAAAATACCCTATGAAATATCACGGAGCGCTAAATCCAAAAATACTGACAGTAAGGGCTACAGGGTGCAAAGGAGGAGGTCACTGTGAACCAGAGGAGCCTCCGTGGACTCACTCCTGAAGAACAGATCAAGGAAAGCCCAGTGGGAACAGAGGAAGGGAGGAAAGAAGTCAAATATATAGAGGGGACTGGTCCCTCTTGGAGGACCTTTCTCTTAGAGAATGATAGTGAAGCGGGGTGGGATGAAGTCACAGCAAGAGCTGACGCCTTGAGAAACAGCCGGAGGATTTCTGGCATCATGAGGGAGACCATGGGGAGCCACTGTAGCTGTAGAGCAGGGCCTGGTCATGATTCAAGCAGAGCCTAGTCCTTAAAAAGATTAGTAAGGAAGGGAAGGGAATCCGTGATGGGACAGACAGAAGACAACACCTCCCCACCTCCAGCCAGAGTTCCCACCTCAGCCCCAGGGAAGGAGCAAATGTCTGTCTCATTTTCCTCACCTAGTTACTTTAAACTTCATTCCTTTTGTGATATTCTAAACCTTCTTAAACATTTTTTTCTGGGGGAGGAAAGCCTGGGGAGGTCGGTAATCTCGGATGGAAAAGTCAAAAGTAAACCTCACTCAATAACTGGACTGACAAGGGTGTCATGGCAAAAGGAAATTTAGCTGACGGAGTATTTTGAGGGAAGCAGGCCCCACAGGTGGGGCACGTGGACCAGGGAAGGGGCAGGTGCAGACTGGGGTCTGGTGGAAACCCCAAGACAGGACAACACAGTCCTCAGGCTCCACCACCAACTTTCCTTCCTGATGCTGAAAAGGCCATGCTGCCTTGTGCCCCAGGACCTCTGCACAGGCCATACACCTTTCTTCAATGCCCTTCTTCCCTCTTCCCGAAATTCTAGTTCATCCCTTAAAAGCCAAAAGCCAAAAGCCACCTCTTGCTGATGCATGGATGATCTGGGAAGAATTGAGATCTAAGCCCCTTGGGGTGATGCTCTTCCTGAGGTGCCCTGAAACCTCATCCCATCTTGGGATGACTAGGAATCCTCCAGGCTTCCGGTGCCACCAGTACCCCCAGTGCTTAGACATGGAGGGTTCTGGTTGCCCAGTAACAGTGCCCTGGAGGAAGTATTAGAGAGCAGGTGTTGCATTCTGAGGTTAGGACGTGCTGGCTGGGCCTTCAAGTGACACTGCCTAGGAAAGAGCTGGAACCGTGCTTCTGGGAGGGGAGGTGTCTTTTTGGGAGGAAGGCAGGCAGTAGGATCTAGGAGAGCACATAAGTGGTAAGGGGGTCGGGAGCGGCAGAGGTCTGGAGATGCCACTGTCATGGGACAGAGGAGGCGGCTGAGCAGATGCAGTTGGAGGAAATGGGGAAGAATTTCAGGGCCAAGGGGCGCCTGGATGGCTCAGTTGTTAAGCGTCTGCCTTCGGCTTGGGTCATGATCCCAGGGTCCTGGGATGGAGCCCCGCATCGGGCTCTCTGCTTCCTGCTTTGCAGGAAGCCTGCTTCTCCCTCTCCCACTCCCCCTGCTTGTGTTCCCTCCCTCACTGTGTCTCTGAAAATCTTAAAAAAAAAAAAAAGAAAAGAAAAGAATTTCAGGGCCAAGGTCAGGAAGGCCGAGGGAGGCGGTGTTAGAAGAAAGGGTCGGCTGCCAGGGAACGGGGTGGGGTTACGAGAGGAGGAAGGGTTTCTTTACCTCAGGTAAGCCACTCTGCTGGTGACAGTTGCTACTCTTTAGTCAGAAGGGAACCTGGCAGTCTTGAGAGCTACCCGTGTTTCCCCAACGTTGCTGTTACCTGCAGCTAGCCCTGCTCTAGACCGCTGGCCCAGCCCAAGGCAGGTGGGTACGGTACGGGGGCCAGGCCTCGGCGGGCAGCAGGAAGCCTGAATGGAGCCTGGGCCTGTGGCCAGGGCCTAAGTGCAGCCCCTGCCCCCCAAGTCTGAGAGGGAGGGGACCAGCAGTTCTGACACCTGTACTGGCAGTCACAGAATTCTCTCTGGACATCTTTAGTCATAGAATATAAATAAGGAAGGAACAGTTTGGCAAAAAGTATACTTTTTTTTTTTTTTAAGTAAGCTCTACACCCAGCATGGGGCTCGAACTCATGACCCAGAGATCAAGAGTCTCATGCTCGACCGACTGAGCCAGCCAGGCGCCCCAGAAAATATATTTTGGGGGCAGGGGCAGGTCTCTACATCTCAAGTCACATATACCTCAAACACTTTCAATTAAATCAACTTTTTAAGTTTTTCTGATAATGCTCATTGATTACCTTTCTTGGCTGGAGCTGGGCAAGCGGATGCCAAACACTTAACGTTTACTAGAAAAGCTTTTGATGATTGTTGAAGCTGGGTGAAAGGTACGTGGGGGTTTGTTCAGCACACTACTCTTCTCTACTTCTGCGTATACTACAAGAGGTGCCTGATAAAGTCTTTTTAAATTTTAGTAGAAATCTTAACATCGATAAAATGCATCGACTATCTTAACTTTTCCTGCGAGTTGAGAGAAGATCCCCTTTTCTCTGGCAGCTGAGAGTAGGCTCCCATACTACTTCGTCAGGGGGGCATAGTTTGAGAACCACAGAATTTATAAATGTTCCAGGTCTAAAAGTCACTATGCCTACGCTTCTGGCCCCCAGGCTCAGGGAGAGCAGGAAAAAGCAAAGCCCCCCCCTGCTGACCGCCAGGGACTGATTAGTGGGCAACTGACCAGATGGCAAGAACAGCCCCAGTTCCTGAATTTCGTCCTAAAGACCACACTTTGTGCTCAGGGCCAAATGCCTCTCTTCTCCGGGACCTTCAACAGGCTGCTCCTTTTCCAGGCTCTTCCAGGAGAGAAGTTTCTGCCTTCCTAGATCCCGGAGGAGCTGGAAACAGCCAAGTAGCCAAACCCCTACCTTGTTCTGACTTTTTTCTAGAGCAAGCTCTCACACAATGTAACGCCTTCCTTTGTAGGCCTGGGGTAAACGCCCCAGATGGTGGCAACTCAGCGACATTGCCGCTCACTTCCTGGTGCCAGAGGTCAACCTCCTTGTCTCTGAGGATCAGAAAGGAGAGCAGCCCCTCACATCGGGCTTGACAGGCTGCCGGCTCCTTGGTCTTTCAGTCTCCATGGCCTCACCTCCTGTCCCTGCTGTAGCCTTCCATGGGCTGGCTTCCACCCCCAAAGAAGCTTCTCTTAGAAAAGCCACCGGCTACCTCCAGGTTGTCAGAGGCGATGGGCATGCCTCCCAGTGCCTGCAGTCCTCTCTACACAGCCCATAAATGGTGGGGTTTCTGTGGATGCGATCCTGGGACTTGGCCTCTTCTCTCTCCCTGTCCCTAGATGAGCTTATCAGTTTCCCTGGACTTAAACACCAGCTTCTGCTCTTGACATCCTCCCACCTTTGCATCTGCAGCGTGGACTTCCCTACCCCCCAAGCTCCAGGCACCTCGGCCTCTCAGACTGAACTGGCAATTCCCACCAGTCCCAAACCCGCTTCTCCACCTGCCTTCCCCATCTGAGGACATGGCACAACCATCACGGGGTGTTCAAGTGAAACCCCTCCGAGTTGTCCTTGGTCCTTCCATTTCCTCCCCTCCTTCACCCCTCCCATCCATCAGCAAGCCCTACTGATTCTATCTCCACAATACATCCTGAATCTGCCCTGTCTCCATTGCTGCCCCTTTAATCCACATCAAGTCATTCCTCTGCACAGAAACCCTCCATGTACTCAGAATTATACCAGCTTCTGGCCAAGACCTGCAGAGCCCCACATGGTTGGACCACTGCCTACCTCCCAGCCTTGTCTGACCCCACTTTCTCCCTCACTCGTTTCACGCTGGGCATACTGGTCACTCATTTTGCCAAACAAGTCGGGGTCTTGCTTGGGGTGTTTCCTCCGCCTAGAACATTCTACCCCACCCCGCTCCTCACCAGATACCTTCCATGGGGGTCGTGAGCAGCAAGGGTCGGGGGGGGGGCGTGGAAGCTAGCTAGTAGAGGGATTTAGCAGCAAGAGGCCTTGAGGCAGTGGAGAACTTGAGGGACCAAGGAGCGACCAGATCGGAGCCAGCTCTCCTGTTCCATCAGGTCTTAACTTAAATGCCACCTCCTCCAAGAAGCCTCCCCTGACCACCCCCGCCTAAAGCAGGCCTCTGTTATCCTCTATTTCAGCCCCTCCTTTACTTTTCTGTCTTGTTCTATCTTCTCCATCAGAATGTCAGCTCCACGAGGCCGGGAATTACACATGCCCAGAGCCCCGTGCGCTACTTGGTACAGGGTAAGTGCTCAATAAACTTTTGTTGAAAGAAACTGGTCACTGCCTAGGAGCTAAGCGGTTCCCTGTAAGTGCAAGAGGTTAACCTGATGGGGAAACTGAGGCTCAGCTGGGGCCTGACAACAGCTCCAGAGGCTGGCTGAAGCTAACCTCTGGTTCTCCAGTTCTGTGGGGCAGGCTGGGGCCCAGGCCAGAAGGCACCTCACCTCCCTCTTCCAGCGTGCCAGCCACTCGTCCCGCTTGCGCTTGCTGATGTAGTAGGGGTCCCCCGCCTGGAAGGTGAGGCGCGGCATGGGCCGCTGGCGGAGGCTGGATTCCCAGCCCAAGCCACCCCGCAGCCGGCCCCGGGAGCCCTAGGACAGAGAGACGACAGAGAGACAGACTGGCATTAAGATGGGCACCGACAGTCCCACTGCAAGGTTTGCTCCTCCTGAGGGGAAACTGAGGAGGCACTCACCTCGAACGGAACACAGGAGCTTTGACTCCTGGCCAGAGATGTCAACCCTGCAAGTGCTGGGCAAGGCCCTGTCTGGGCTGGAGAAGTGAGCCACGGGCTGAGGGGGGCACATGGACGTGAACCATGAGGGGAGGTGCTTGGTCTCAGAGGGGGACCAGCTGGCTGCCTTGTTAGGGGGCTTCTAACCTCCACACCCATCTCCTTTCCTCCTTACACGGGGACATGTAAAGAAAGGGACGGGACCACCTCAGGAATCCCCTCACACACATTCGCCACAGTTGGTCAGAGAGGTGGCTTTCTTCTAGAATCAGGATCCACAGAGCCCCTGGGGGTTGAGCAAAACACTTGCCTCCATTTTCATGGATTCGATGTTGGTCTCCTTCTGTTCTTTGCCTGTGGAGAGGGAAGAACAAAGGGACTGTCGGCAGAGTTACGGGAGTGGCTCCGAGGCCCCACCTTGTGCCTGGGGTCCCTGCCACAAAGACAGGGGTCCTCCAACCATTCAGTTGTTCATGTATCAAACCTGATGGCCCACCATGTGCTAGGCACCATGCCGGCCCCAAGGACTCAGAGCATGGCCTAGAGCAGAGAAGGGACTGGGGCAGGTTCGGAGGCCCAAATCCGAAGGAACGATAGGAAAGCCAGGGCCACGGTTTGTGGCCCATTGACTCTGTCTCAGGCACACAAACGGGGTCATCTAGGAACAGCTCCCTTCACAGAGGAGGGGCCTAGATGGCACAGTCTCCCCCTGCCCTGGAAGGGAGCTGCATGCTGCTATGGGGTGAGGCAGAGATGTCCTGGGGGGCACTGGGGTACACGGCCACTGCAGCAAGACTCTGGTAAAGCAACTTTGTCTCTGAGGCTCAGCTTCCTTATCTGGAAAAGAATGACGCTGGAGATGATTTCTAGGGCCCTTCTGCAGTTCTCAATACTGTGGTTCTGTTCTTGATACCTGCCTCTGTACCCCCATTCCCCACCCCAGTCTCAGGTCTCTGAACCTTTATTCTAAAAGACTTCGATTCCAGGTGTTTCCGTGTGACCTCTGTAACCTCTCCTAGCCTGTTTTTTCACCGAATCAAGACAGAGCCAACCGTTCTAAAATCTTTAGGTTACTGGGAACATCAAGTGCCTGGAGCAGGACTTGGCATATAGTAGGTGCTCAATAAAGATTACTTTGGATCCCTTTCCCTAAGGCATCTCCCTGCTCCTCTTCCCTGCAGCTCTTCAACCGGGCCCGGATTCCAGTTCCTAGAAGGAGAGGCTCCCCTGGGGGCAGGAAGCCCCAGCAGTTCTGTCTGTAGGACAGTCTCATCCTCTCCCCGGCCGGGCCCCACACAGGAGGGCAGCCGCCCTCCTCCAGAATATGCTTGCGCTCCTACCCTGGGCCTTTCAGGTCCTCACCCAGATGCCCTTCCCAGGCCCAGCGAGCACCTTGCAGTCCAGCTGCCCCTGGCTGTGGGGCTGGGGTAATTATGCCTTCCAGAACTTCTGCAGGGGGGGGTGCGGGGAGCGCCCCCCTCTCATCTGGGCCCCTGAACTCCTTTCTCTGAAGCCAAGAGGACTGAGCTTGGGCCCAGAGCAGGAAGGTCACTGAGGCTGGCTCATGGTAGTTGGGGTGGGGGAGCCCCAAACGGAAAAAACAGCCCCTACTTCATCTCCCGGCTCTGAGGCGGAAACCAGACACAGCATTGAAGGCCCCGGACAGGAAGTTTCTTTCCCTCTCTCTCACTAGAGAAGCCCTGGGGCTCTCCGTGTGTGCCCCCGGGGGAGGGGCAGCCCCGGGGTCACAGCGCCCCCGGAGCCCAGGGGAAGGGAGGAAGGGCCGGCGCTCGCAGCAACCGCCCCCCCAACCCCTGGCAGCCAGCACGGGCACCGAGCCGGTGCCGCGGAGTGGGGGGGGGGGGGGGACACGGACGTGCCAGTGTCTGTCGTGGGCGCGCGCGCGGTGGGAACGGGGGTGCCGCTAACACTTTACACGACAGGCTTTTTAAGGTATGTCTCACCCGGGCTTGCTGTCTCTTCCTCCGTGCTTCCGCTCAGCACAGCCAGCTCCCCCGACTTTTTCTCAGGCTCCCTGGAGCCGGGTCCCCCTCCCGCCCCCGGGGGTCCCCCACCCCTTTTCTCAGACCTGCACGTTCTCCCGGCGAGGCTTTGGGCTGCCAGAAGGGGGCGCCCGCCCTTGGACCAGGCCGCGGCCAGGGGTCCCTCGGACCTCTCGAACGTTTCCTATGGGGGTCCCTCCGTGGCATCTCATTATGGGGAATCATCTATTCATTCGGTTGAAAGAAAATCAGGGTTGAAGGGAACTATAGAGATGATGGAGCCCCTGTTCAGCCCCTAGATTTTGCCAGTGGGGAAACTGAGGCTGGGGGGTGGGTGTGGAGCGCTGAAATCAGATTTCAGGGCTCCTGAATGCCAAGCCCGTTCACGTTACCCTCCACTACCTTCATGTTCTCCCCTTCCCCATTCCCTGGTCCCCATCCATGCTCCCCCAAACAACTGCTTTTCCTCTCCTCGCGCAGTTTCCAACTGGCTTCTTTCTGGAATTTTCTCCCTGACAGATTCTGCACATGCCCACTGAGTGATATCTCACACACACACACACACACACACACACACACACACACACACACACACACACTTTCCAGCCTGGCCCAGCAAAACAACAAACTGGGCTGCCTCAGAATGCAGCACTTGTCCTGAGTCAAGGAGGGTCAGCTGCTCTCTCAACACCCCCTCTGCAGTCCATCTGCTCCTGGCCCAGACCCAGGGTCACAGGCGGGCCAGGTGGCTGCGTGCCTCCCAGGGTGGCCCTGGCAGGCTCAGACATGACCCTAGAGTATCTCGGGTCCAGGGGGCAGAAGAGACCAGGGTGCTTCCAACGCTTACCCATTGATCTAAGCCTCTATCAGCTGGGAGACCCGCCCCAAATTTCCTTTAAAAGGAACCCAAATCTCCATGACAAGGCTAAAGCCAGGCTTGCCTCAGAGGGCAGTCACTAACCCAACACTGGGTGTTCCATCTGAGCGGAAAAGGGCTTTGTGCTCACCCTAATCTGGTCCTTTACTAGTTGAATAATCTTGGGAGAGTAACTTAACCTTTCTGAACTCTCAGTCTCCCCGTCTGAAAAATGGGGACAATAAGAGTCTTCCTCACATGATCACAAAGATTAAACAAGAGAACATGTAACTAAAGAGCAGGGCTTCTTAAACTTTAATATGCATCGAAATCAGGATCTCTGTAAAATGTAGATTTTGACTCCACAGGTCTAGGGTGGGGCCTGAGATTCGGCATTTCTAACTTCAGAGGTGATACCAGGCAACACTGTTGGTCCATGGGCCACTCTGAGTAGTGAGGATATAGGACAGTCAACACGTAGTCAATATTCAGTAAAAGAAAGCCACATTACCATCGTTTCTATGAGAATCATGGCAGCATTAATGCTAGGAGTGCAGAAGCAGTCCCAAGGCCACCACCTGCCTATCCAGGTGGCTCTTGGCCTGATGACTCATCACCTCCCCCATTCCTCCTTCTTTCTCCTGGCTGTTCTGTCAGGATCTGGGGCGCCTGTGTGCACAGGAATGTTGCCTTCAAGTCCTTCATTTTTCCTGTATAGGAACTAATGGGAGGGGTTCAGGGGAGACGGATGGGGCCCCCCTGAGAGGAGACCTGGAGTGAGCGGAACAGATGGGAGACCATGGCCAACTCACTTCCTCCCTGGGGCCTTAGTCCCCTTCCTCCCTGGGACTAAGCAGCTGCATACGCGTTCTGTGTGGCTGACTGCGGGCCAGGTGGCCGAGCCTCCAGCAGACCACTGCCCACGCCCCCGGCAGCACCTCACCGGTCTCAGCAGCCAGGCAACGCATGGTGGCCTTCAAGGGTCCCCCCCGCCAGCTCTGAGGCCTACCAGCACACAACACAGGAGTGCTCCGAGGCTACTGGGGGGTCAGGGAGGCTTCGAGCACTGGCCGGCCACACTCAGCGCTAAGATTCCGAGGAAGGTCCCCCGATGTGGGAAAATCCCAAACCCAGGAGTCATCTCGACACCATCTCTCCCCTTTCCCCTTGGGCTCCTGGCGCTTGCCCGCTTCTCCACCTCTGCTGCCCCCTCATTACAGCCGCCCTCCTCCCCACCACGCCTGCAGCAGCCCCCGAACCCAGCTTCCCAGCCCCTCGGTTCCACTCTGGGAACCAGAGCGCAAAGTGATTTTTTTCAAAACACAAAGCAGATCATGTCACCTGCCCCCCCCCCCCCCCCCCCCCAGCCCGGAGGGTGTCCTCAAAGGCCTGCCCTGGTCCTGTCTGCTCTCACAGCCTTCTTCCTTGCTCTCTCACTGCAACCTTACTAGTTTCTGTCAGGTCTCTGGGAGCCCTGCTCCCTCCCACCCGGGAGCCTCTGTACCTGTTTTCACTCCCTCCCACACCACCCCTCACCTGGTGAACCCCCAGTCATCCTTCCGCTTCCGTGGAACAGGCCGGGCTGCCTGGGGTTTCCCTGGTCACAGTTCCTCATAGAACTGTGTTTATTTTCTCTTAGAGAACCTATCTCCTTGTATAATCACACGCCTTTCAGTGTGAATTTCTCATTAACGTCTGTCTCTCCAGCGGACTTTGAGGTCCTTGAAGGCAAGAACCAGGATTTTGTTCATGACGGTTTGCCCAGATCCTGACACACACACACACAATGGATGTTTCATATACATCTACTGACTGACTGAAGAAGGAACTCTGGAGAACAAACGGAAGTGGAGACAGGGAAACCCCAAAGTGAAAGCACACCCTCAAGGGTTAAGAGCGGCCTTAGAACTATGTATGGCCCCATCCCACCAGGCAGAAAGGACTGCAGCTTACTGTCAGTCATGGTGGGGTCCCAGGAATCAGCACATGGTGGGGGGGTGGAGCGTATGGGCTCCCAGCTTCCGCTCTGGAATACCTGGCCTTCTTGGCGGGAGGGATGGGGTCTCTTCTCCCTTTCCTCCTCAGTTTCCCTCCACTCTGGCCCCTTGAACACTCCCGCCCAGCGTCAGGACCTACCCACAAGGCACTCAGGTAAGGCCAGAAGCCCTGGGCAGTTCCGGGCTAGCCTGCACTGAGCCCCACTGCAGAATAAAAGGAGACAGCAGAAGGGCACACCAACTTTGAAGCCAAGACGGAATGCATCCTGGAGCTACCACTTACAGGCACGGAGGCCCTGACCAAGTCACTTCATCTCGCTAAGTGGCATGTTTTTTCTGCCTTAAAATGAGGATAACAATACCTCTTGAAGAAGATTGTTTGGAGAACTAAAACAGCGAATACAGAGTACCTTAAAAAGCGCTTTGCACATAATGGGAACATCATAAATATTAGCTGAATAATAAATGAATGAAATATATATATATTTTAATTTGGAAATCTCTTTTCTGGAAATGCTCTCAATCCCGCATGAATATTGGGTTTAGATCCGTGCAAAATAAGTTAGGCCCATTAATCGATTTACTCATTCCATCATACGCACTTGGAAGACTTTTTGAATTAAAATGCACATATGCAAAACAACCTGGCAGGGCCCCGGGAGGATCAAATGTGATAATATATGAGGAAGCGCTCTGTAAACTGTGAAGCCCCGTACAAATGCTAGTTGTCCTCATTACTAACATGTTTACAGCTTGGTTGGCCCTGAAATCACTGGCTTAACCTGAAAGAGAAAAGTAGGCAATTTTCCAGGACTCCAGGGCAAGACCAAAAAGTCTGGGAAGGAAGGGGCCTGGGCCGGGGTGGCGAACTGGCCACCCGCTTCCGCCCCCCCACCCCCCTCCGCTCAGTCACAATCACACTTGAATTGAGTCAGCTGAACTGTGGGTGGGTTCGAGACATCTGTGCTGGGGCAGGCTCACTGGGTTTTCAGGGCTCCGAGGGCATGCGCTGCCTGGAGCACCCAGGCCAGGGGCTGCACCCGCAGTCCCCGAGAACTGCAGGTCTTGGAGAAGAGGAAGGAGACCACGTGAGGGCTGAAGGAAACCGAGGCTCACAACCAGCCTATGAAGGGGGGGGGTCGGGCAGGGGGACAGCCATCACCCCAGTCCTGCAACTGTTGGCATTCTTCAAATCCACTGTTGCCAGATCTAGCTTTTTTTTTCTTTTCCCACGAGAAGCCAAAACTCCAGATTTTTATGTGAAATTTCTTGATTTTTAAATACTGGCAACTAATTTTTGAAAATGTTTAAAACACACCATGGGCCAAATAAAACATGTGTGCAGGCTGCACCCAGCCAGCACACTCCGGGGTATAGCCTTGGCAAGTAGACCTTCAGCTCCCGTGCCTCCTGGGGCCTGCTGGCCCCCCGTCTCTAACCCTTGGGAGAATCCTGGGGATCCCAGAAGAGGCTGCCCCTTGTGCCCAGGACTCACTCTCTTCTGCGGGGGCTCCTCGGCCATCCTTGGGGGTGCAGCAGCCATTCTCCACGGCTCTGGAGGCTTCGGGCGGGGTCTCAGCCGCACCCTCTCCCTCTGCTGGGGCCCCGCCCTTCTGCCCTCCAGCGGGGCTCCCCTCCTCTGGCTGGGGCTCACTCCGCTTCTCCAAGTCCCCGTTGGGTAACAGCTCTGAGGGGCCTGAGTCCTGGGCCATGGACGGGGACTTGGAGGTCGCTGCGGGGTCCTTTGGCGTGTCACTGCTTTCCACCTGGAAAGATGAAGAAACAGGAGGGGACGATTAGATCAGTGGTCTTGCCTCTTTTGGCTCACTAACCCCTCTGAAATTCCGGTGAAAGTTAGGCACCCGTTGTCCAAAAAACCTTGTTCACATAAGTGTCCGTGCAAGCAAATACACACACAATTCTGCCCTCAGTTTTAAGGGATCTCTGGGCCTGACTCCCTGAAGTCAACGGGTTTGTGGACTCGAGCATAAGAAGCAGAAGAATGCAGGCAGGTTTGCCAGCCTGGTTTCAATGCCCAAGCTGTGACCCATGGCAGCTACCACCCCCACTCTCCGAGGTGACATAGGGCCTCCAAGCCTACTCTGAAGCCCCTATTAAAAACAAATGTTCCACTATACGGAAGTGGGGAAAGAAATACATATATATGTAAGTGAAAACAAACATTCTGGGGTGCCTGACTGGCTCAGTTGGTAGAGCATGCAACTCTTGATCTCAGCGTTAAGAGTTCAAGCCTCACACTGGGCTTCGTTTAAAAAAAAAAAAAAAAATCAATGATTTTTTTTTAAAAAACAAACATTCTTCACACTACCCCTACTTCAAATCAGGACCCCTCCTCAGAAGACTCTAGTGCCACCAATCAATTCTGGTAACCTTGGGCTGACCTGACTTTCGCCAGATCCCTCCGGCTTTCCTTTTGGCCTCTCAAGGCCCTGACCCAAACAGGGACTAGCTGCGCATTGGAGCAAAAGGGTCAAAGGAGGCCTCCCAAATAAGCATTCTGTTGGGCCCCAAAGCCCAGCACAGTTCTTTCCTTCAGCTCTGGATCCCCCATCTTTCCGGCACCCCGACCCTGGAGATCCACAGCCCCCATAAGCAGTTTGCAGCGTCCACAGTAAGCGCCCCCTGGCATGTGGTCTCACATTCCCCTTCCAGAATGAAATGTATCCCTTCATCCCCAAGAGTCTAAGAACAGAACTTGCCACAGTTCCAGGTAATAAGAATCACATCAAGGGTAATCATCTAACTGTCCTTTGTAAATGCCACTGCCTGGTGGGCAAGGCTCCTTCTCACCATGATCCCTTTAGAGCCACTCAACCTCCCTGAGGAGGCTCTCAGAGAATTGCTCAAGGTCACACACTTTGTAAGGACAGAGTGAGGGCAGGAGAGCCTGGTGAACACTCTGTCCTCGGCCCTGCGGGGGGCAAGTAGGCTAGAGCATCTCAGAGGAATGGAGGTGCTCTCTTGGGGAGGAAGAGGCAAGTGTCCCCTGTGCTCACGCCCATGGGCACAGGGCTGCCCTCAGCAATCCCGCCCAGCTCCATCCGTGGAACGCCTATGGGAAGGGCAGACGCGTGGCTAGCCTGCCACCTCAGCAAGGTGCTGCTCAGGAGGGCGCCTCAGCTGCTCCACCTATAAGGGGAGATGCCGAGACTGGTCCCCTGAGGTTTTTTCCATCTAAGTCTTTTTTTTTTTTTCTGTTTATAAAAGTGAGACACATATAAAAACTCAAACGACACAAAAATGAGTCGTGGTGAAAAGTTAAAGCTCCTTTTTCAATCCCCCCCCTCTGAAATCACAGGTAAACCCTTATTAACAGTTTGGTGAGGATCCTTTCTAGACTTTGTTTCTATGTGTCTACAATCATGTGTGAGTTACATGTTTACACACATGGATTCACACGCACAGCCAGATCCAGAATTTTTTTTTCTAATAGGGTGTCTTGCTACTCAGTGTTCTATAACTTGCTTTTTCACTTAACAAGCATAGTGGGCATCACTCCATACCCGTGCATATGGATCTGTCTCCTATTTCACAGCTGCTCAACATTCTATTGAATGGATGCTCCATAATTTATTCAAACAGTTCCCTAATAGTGGGCCTTTGGGCCGATTTGCTTTTTGCTGCAATGAACCCCATGCACTTACAGTTCCGCACGCCTGCGTATGTCTGTAGATCGGGGTCCCAGAGGTGGGCTGGCTGGTGGAGGGCCTGCCTAGGTGTGAGTAGACAGGCCAAATTCCCTCCAAAGAGGTGTACCCCTCAAGCACACCCTGACAGCCTCAGAGCGTGCTGGGCTCCCTCCCACACAGCCCGGCAATCTCCAAGGCTGCTTCTGCTCCAAGGTCTATATCCTCACCTTTGAGCCCGCTGCTGTCTGCTGAGGAACCCCCAGGGTGGCAAATAGGGACAAGGGCCTTGGGGACAAAAATAAATAAATAAAAACAAAATAAAAACCAGAGTCTTCCCTGGACAAGGTTCCAGGCACACAGAGCAGCCTAAGGGTGAGCAGAAGGACTTGCCAAGCTGTTTTCCTGGCTGAGCGGGGCAGCTTGGGGCAGGCCTGCTTCCAGGAAGGGAAGCTCCCAGGGAAAGCTGCAAAGATGTGCAGTCCTTGGCGGGTGGGGGTGGGGACTGGAGCAAGAGAAAGGGGCAAGAAGTCCTCTGCTGGCCTAGCCTTGGGCACAGAGGGCTGAAGCCAGCAGGGCCAGGAGGTCAGACACAGGAATGCGAGTGAGCAAGTAGGCCCTGTCTTTCTCCTTAGCTTCCATCCCTGAGTGTTGGGACACACTCTGTCCAGGACTGAGACGGCCTTTCCCACCTCCCAGGTCAAGCCAACAGGGTTCCCTGGTCTAGAACGCCCCTCCCTGGTAGAAATCCTCTCACCTCTAGACAGCCCAAGCAGAGTGGGGCATGCCCAGGCCCCCACAGCCACCCCTATGTCCAGCTGTGCTGGGCATCACAGAGCTCTGATCGTGCCTCTGCCAGGGAGGTGGGCTGGGGAATTCAGGTCAGAGTCAAGCTCTTACCACGGCCGTGTCCTTTTACCTTCTGGCCACTTGCTACCCCACAGACACCTCAAGTTGGAGCAGGCTCCCAGCCCCACAAAGCTGCTTGAGACAACTCTGCTGTCACTAACTTCCTGCCTGGGGACCACATGGCCTCCTCTCACCTGGGACTCACTTCCTGTTGATTGCCAGCTCCATAGCAGAGAGAGCCAGGAGTACCTGCTCTGACCCCCACGTGCTCTCATCAAGCATCCCTCCCAGGCCGGCCCTGGAGGAACCCAGGCTGCAGCAGCGTGAGGCCCACACCCCTTCCAGAGGTGGGCGAATGAGGGGAAGGGAAGCGCTCTGCACAGCCCCCACCCCAGGGTTAGCTCAGCATGCCGAAATCCCCCGATCCCCCCCGCCAGGCCTCACCTCCTCTTGTCCCAACTGAGCCACCCTCTCTGGTTCTAGTTCACCCTGTGTTAGCCAAAGTTCTGGGATTAGGGAAGCTTCTGACTCCCGCCCAGGCCAGCCCTTGATCCAACTTACCCCTCAAGAACCCTCCCACCCTGGGGTGACTGGCTGGCTCAGTCGGTGACGCATGTGACCATGATCTCCAGCTTGTAAGTTTGAGCCCCACATTGGGTATAGAGATTACTTAAAAATGAAATCTTAAGGGGCGCCTGGGTGGCTCAGTCATCAAGCATCTGCCTTCAGCTCAGGTCGTGATCCCAGGGTCCTGGGATCGAGTCCCACATCGGGCTCCCTGCTCCACAGGGAAGTCTGCTTCTCCCTCTCCCACTCCCCCTGCTTGTGTTCCCTCTCTCGCTGTCTCTCTCTCTCTGTGTCAAATAAATAAATAAAAAATCTTAAAAAAAAAAAAAAAAGAAGAAAGAAAGAAAAGACCCACACACCCCCTCCGCCCCACCCCAGCCAGGAGTGGACCCTCACTGGCTCCCTCTCTGGGGCCCAGGCAACTGAGCAGGTTGAATCCACGTATAAGAAACCATTGAGAGGGAAGAAGGAGGTCCACAGGCAAACGAACTGAAGCAACTGTCCAAATCTCTTAGAGGGGCTGGGTGCACCCTAAAAGGGGCATCTTTGATGAGAACAGCCTAATCCACACCTGGAAGCCACTAGGAGAGCCAGGCCTGCACCCTTCTGCCCCCACCACTCAGCCACCTCCTGTCCCCCATCACTCTAGGCTTGTCCACTCCTGGAGTCAGGGACTTTGCTTTCTCAGGCTAGACTCAGGGCGCTCAGTATCCATAACTGGTTCCCGAATGCCAAGCCTCGCTTAAGACTCAGAACATCCTGCTCCTGTGAGTAGAGGGAGTTTCAACTTAGTTGCACATCAGAAGTAACTGTTTAAAATTCTGTTTTTGTTTGCTTGTATTTTACAGTTGCCTTCAAAGGAGAGACAATATACCCTGAGATACTCATTTTTCCCTTGGGGGCAGTGGGAGCAGCAGAAGCCCCTAGTCCTTCTAGAAGCCACCACCAGCAGCTGAAGGTGACAATTCCAACTTCCTCTGCTTCTCACCTGTGAGGCTGGGGGGGGTGGAGGGGGCAGCAGAGGTCTCCCCTGGAAGTGGGAGGCTGGGGGGGCAACAGATTTGGGTAAAGTCCGATCCTATTGCCCTCTGTGCGCCTACCCATGTCTGGTTTGCCCCATTCTGGATCTTCAGACCCTGCCTACCACCTCTTGGGGTCCCTCAGAATTCATTGCCCTTTGCCTTCTGTCCAGGCAACCCGTCCATCCCAGGACAGCTGCTTCCTGCTTCTCTGTTGCCTACCACCCCCACCTCGGGCCTCCCCCGGGAGCGGCTTCTTCCAAGCCGGTGAAGGCAGTGGTTCTCCCCTGGGGGCAGTTTTGCTTTGACTGTATGTCTGAGACACTTCTGGTGGTCACACTGGGGTGGGGAGACTGCTGGCTTCCAGTGGGTAAGGGTCGGGGATGCTGCTGAACTCCACACTAGAACAGGGCGGTGACCACAACGAAGAATTATTCGGCCCAAGATGTCAATAGTGCTGTTGTTGAAAAACCCCGGGCTGAAGGTCGGCGCACTGACCAGAGACTGCCTTTCTCTAAGAACCTTTTTTTAAAATAAAATAAAATAAAATAAACTTAAAAAAATATTGTGGTAAAATATACATAACATAATATTTACCATTTTAACCATTTCCAAGCATACAACTGAGTGGCATTAAGTATATCCATATTGTACAACCATCACCACCATCCATCTTCAGAACTT